TAGCATGGCGAGTGCCAGGAGGCAGCTAAGTGTCTGGAGCTAATTGAGCAAATTAGGGGGCACCTAGCCAATCTTGGGGTATGGGGAAAGGCTTCCAGTAGAAGCATCTCAGAGAAGAGACAGAGTGTGGATAGGTGTGAGCCAGATAAATCAGGAGAGAAAACAGCATCTCCCAAGGAGCCACCTCGCAGCCTCGTGAGCCACATTCAGCGACTTCTTCATTCCAGAGGGCACCATTAAAGAGCAAATGAAGCAGGGAGTAACTGCTTGAGAGGTACAGGTTTCTTTTCTGGGGTGATGAAAGTGTTCTGAAATTAGATAGTGGTGATGGCTGCACACATTGAATGTACTAAAAGCCTCTCAATTATAAGCTTTAGGCCAGCATGGTGGCTCACGCCTATAATCCTAGCACTCTGGGAGGCTGAGGCGGGCAGATTGCTCAAAGTCAGGAGTTCGAAACCAGCCTGAGCAAGAGCGAGACCCCGTCTCTACTATAAATAGAAAGAAATTAATTGGCCAACTAATATATATAGAAAAAATAAGTTGGGTATGGTGGCAGATGCCCGTAGTCTCAGATACTCGGGAGGCTGAGGCAGAAAGATCGCTTGAGCCCAGGAGTTTGAGGTTGCTATGAGCTAGGCTGACGCCACGGCACTCTCTAGCCTGGGCAACAAAGCGAGACTCTTTGTCTCAAAAATAAAAAACAACAACAACAAAAAATTATAAGCTTTAAAACAGTGAATTTTGCCTCAATAAAAAAAAAAAAAAAAAAAAGCAAAAGCAAATGATACCTGGAGAAAATTTTCAATTCCAACCAAGATGGGGTAACAGGGGCCAGATTTACCCTCCTGCCTAAAACAAGTAAAAAACAGGATGAAAATGTATGAAGCAATGGCTTCCAAGAGAGTAGATGTCAGGCAACTTGATCCCTGGAATGTGAAACAAGGTGAGCCCACTGGCTGCCCCAGGCCTCAGAGTAGAGAAGGAAGAGGAACCAGATCAGAGCCCAGCAGAGTCCCAGTCTAAGAGACAGAGCAGAGAGTCAGGGTAGCCAACTGGAGAGAAGAGCGCTGCCCAGAGAGGGAGAGAGCCCTGGAAATGTAGAGGGCCTCCCTGTTAGCATTCAGAAGAGCAGAGATCAGCATGAACATGAAAAACCAGCTGAAAAGGCTACAGGGAAGAATGTCCAGAGCTCACACGGGGCCAGGAAATAATGTGTTCCCACCAGCCAGATCAGAAAACCCTGTAACTTAGAACAATGGGGTAGAGTCCTAAAGAGTCTTACACCTAAGTAGTAGGGAAAATTAGCCCTATGTTAAACACTGCTCTGGTCTTGCATAACAAAACTTAAAGGCAAGACTCAAATGAATCAAATTGTTTCCAAGTAACTTAAACATATCCCAGAACAAAACTTATAGAAATGTAAAAATCACCTAGCATAAAAAAAGGCAAAATCCATGTCTGGCATGCAAAAGAAGTATAAAAACAACTATGAGAAAAAAAGAGAAAAAAAAACTGAAAACAATTAAAACCAACCCAGAATTGACACAGATGTTAAAATTAGCTGATAAGGACATTAAAAGATTTCAAAAACATGTGTTCAAAACGTAGAGACCTGGAAAATATAAAAAGTACTCAAATGGAACTTTGAGTTGAGAACCACAATGTCTGAAATTAAAAGTAAACAATACCAGGCTGGGCTCAGTGGCTCACGCCTGTAATCCTAGCACTCTGGGAGGCTGAGGCGGGTGGATTGCTCTAGTTCAGGAGTTCAAAACCAGCCTGAGCAAGAGCGAGATGCCCTCGTCTCTACTATAAAAATAGAAATTAATTGGCCAACTAATATATATAGAAAAAAGAATTAGCCGGGAATGGTGGCACATGCCTGTAGTCCCAGCTACTTGGGAGGCTGAGGCAGTAGGATTGCTTGAGCCCAGGAGTTTGAGGTTGCTGTGAGCTAGGCTGATGCCACAGCACTCACTCTAGCCTGGGCAACAAAGTGAGACTGTCTCAAAAAAAATAAATAAATAAAAGTAAACAATACCATCACATCTGCTGAACAGGAAAGCTCAGCCTGGCCACCATCTGGAGAATGGATTTGTAAAGAAATATTAAAGTAGGAACAGGAAGCTGTTAAAACATCTCACTCAGGTGAGAAGTGGTGGCGTCGGACATAGTAACAATAGAGCTGGGAAGAAGCAGGCCCTTTTGACATTAGGTGGAACCAACAATGGGTGGGGGAATCTGAGCCACAAATGCGACCCAGGAGGCAGCAGTCATAAGACCAGACGCACATGCCCTGCAGTGTTCTGAGCCACAGGCAAGCCTGGTGCACTCAGGAACCAAAAGGCTGGTGCAGCTGGCTTCTGGGTAGGACCAGCATGGAGCAGGATGACAGCAAAGTGCCAGGCAGGGCCCAGATCACACAGAGCCAAGGCTGAGATTTTATCTGAGGCATAAAAAGAACCGGAATGCTTTAACCAGGGGACAGATTTGCATTTGAAAATGTCACTCTAGAGGAGGGTGGAGAATGGACAGGAAGTGGGTGAGCAGAGGTAGGCACCCTGTTAGGCAGGTTTGGTGTCCTGAGACTGCTTGCACACAAGCGTAGAGGAGAAGTGAGCAAACTAGGAATGCAGCCAGGAGCAGAATTCTCAATCCCTGGTTGTTGAACAGATGTGAAAAGAGATGTTGATGAGGATAGGGTCCAGGTTAGTGATATAGGAGTAAATGCCACTTACTAAGGTAGAGAAGGCAAGCACAGGGCAGATTTGGGAGGATCAAAAGTTCCATTTTAGACATAACTGGAGATTTCAAGCAACTATGGATAAAAGCTGATGTTGAGGGGAGAGACCCGAGTTAGAGATACACCAGTGCTATGTTAAACCACAGAAATCGATAAGGTCACACAGGGAGTTTGTAGAGTGAGAGAAGAGGCCAAGGCTGAGCTTTCACAGTCTACCACTGAAGACTAAAACAGACAAGTTCATAGCTAGAGAAAGATGTAGAGACAAGGAAGGGATTTCAGTGATGGAGTGGAGCCTAGAGAGGCTGCAACCACAGAAAGAGGGAGGCGAGTAGGTACATGTGGAGGGACTGGCCCATAAGAGCAGGAGGTACACAGCTTATGCAAGATGCAGGAGACCTGAAGAATAAGGGGTAGCAAGATGAGGGCATTCCTGTTAGCTCCTCTACTAGGAAGAGGTACGGTACCCTGGAAGGCAATGTTGGTGGGGAGAAACGTAGAAATTTATAAAGTAGAGAAGGTATGAATAGTCTTGTCTTATTTCAACAGATGTTAGAATTGTGTTTAAAAAACAAAACAGCAACAATCCCCACAAGGTGCAAATTATCTACATTAATGGAGGAGCATCTGCTTAAAGTTCTCAATTAAAGTCTGGAAACATTAAGCACATTGCAATCTAATAGCAGGTGAAAAGGTCACCTCATTCCATGCTCAGTTCTGATCCAGAGGACAGTAATTATTTGGCAAGGGACTGATTAGTCCCCTTACTCCCCTAAAGTGACAACATTCCAATGTCCCATTGAAGGCTTCGGTCATCCTGAGACAACCAAGTTTGTATTGCAGAGTACGAAAGCCATTCAAAACTATACCTTTTTTCAGCAGCCCTATTATATCTGAGGACACTAGACCTAATACACTCCCCTAAAGCCAAGTGCTGTAATAGTCCTATTGTATTCTCTTCTCCTAGAGGTCTGCCTTTGTATTAATTCCAGAAATTCAGACTGATTTTCAGTTATATTTAGAGAATAAAAAGTTTTTAAGTCATATCAGGAGATGTAGGTGTTCTTAGTATTTCATGCCTAATATCTTTCAGCTTCCTCCAATAACAATGGCAAAAAAGGGCTTTGCATCTAACCTGATTATAGATGCTACAGATACTTCAGGGGAAAGGCTTCCTGTAAAGCTTAATATCAAGCAAGGATCAAATTCAATTGACTACATGGCCCAAGCAAATAAAGTGAGTTAAGCAGGCTAAATCTGAGAAGAGAGACAAAAAGGAATACTCCAGTTCCCCCTTAAGGCCATTTACCTACCATAGGGTCTGTGGAATTGACAACCCACACTCCACAAAAAAGGCAGTGAGCACTCCACAGCCAGCCCAGCAAGTGTTGGAAACAGAGCCTACTATGGACAGATCTGCTTTTCCAATTTAAGCTCTAAAACCAGAGTAGTAAAACACTGGAATTTTAAACAGTAGAAACAATTTAAAATATCATCTACCCCCCTCCCCCAAAAAAGAAAACCCACAGGCAACCATTTGTGATTGCTACTTTGATTCCAATCTCAGCTTTGGAATCAAAATACCAGCTCTCATTTTCTAGCTCTTCATGCCTTTGGCAAATCAATGAACTTCTGAGCCTCATTGTCCTCATTTGAAAAATAGTGTCATTTTTCAAACTGATGTTTTCAAAAAAAAGTAGTATCAAATATTAAACACAATAATGCTCAAATACTTAATGACTAACATGGAGTAAACAACTAAATACAGTTTCCTATAGGTATAAAGTAGATCTTACTATCAGTAAATTATTTGCAGTGATCTTTCAAGAAGCTAATTAAAGATCCCAAGGAGGCTGAGTTCTCAGAAGATTTAGGGTCTTTCAAATTCTGATTACTGAATACTGAGTATTAAAGTCATTAGAATCTCAATAGAACCAGCGATAAAGAATGCCTAGCAATAGATACTTAATGAGCTAGAAGTGGCTCTTCTAATTAAGAGATCTAATAACTGTCACTACTTAATGGCCACAAAAAGGCAATAAAGTACACACATCGAGGGATATACTTTTCAGTGAAAACAATGGCAGCTTCTAAAATCAGCTGTTTAAACAAACTAAAGGGATTTAAGTTTTTATAAATCAGACAAATCTCTATTATCAGATCATAGCCTAAACACTTCATACTATCTACATAGCTACATTTCATACTATCTTAAGTAAACTCCAAGGAATACCAACCACAATACTAGAAAGAATCTACTAAAGAAATGCTTTATTAATACAAACAGACAAACTACAAAGCACTAAGAATTTTAAATATCTATGTCATAGCAAACAGGTGGCAATTCAACATCCAGGGTCGACAGAATGCTTGAAGGAGACTGCAACGGATCTAGAAAACAGAAATTCTTATTAAATTTCTGCAAATCCTTGAGTCACTGTCCATAAAAATGCAGATATCAGCTGTCATCTTTAATCATAAATTCACACTTTTCCCTTCGTCTAATGAATTCCTACCTCTACCCACTCCTCATATATATTTCTTAGAATGTGGCAGTGGCCCCAAAATTGACCTTCATTAGGAAAAGTCTTAGAAGTAACTGAATCTCTACTGTTCTTAGAGACCAAAGTAAGAGTAACAGTCTCATTAATGTAATTTATTAGTACAAGTTATCTCATCAGAACAAAGAACATAATGATGGCTCTTGACTACCAGTTTAACCTAAGACCTTCTGCAGTAAGGTACTGTCATTCTATGATATAGCGCAGGTGTCTTGATCCTATGTTATCTTTGAATATAACTTGGAATCCTCATTCCAAGCAAGTTTATTATACACTTCAGCTTACAGCCTAAGAAGATATGTTAGATTTAATCTCTTCTTGCTGCATCTAAGACTGTATAAATAACTGTTCCAGAATAACTTAATTTTTACTGGGGCATTTGGGACTAAGAATTAATACCAACTGACAATAGTTTTCATTATTCCGAAATTTTATCCCTATAGTTCAAAGGATAGAAATTACTCACTAACCTTCCTGCACAGCTATCCCCACAGTAATGAAAACAGATTGTTTGCCGCCCTTCTAGAAGGGCCCTTGCTCACCAGATTCCCATGGTGAAGAGGAAATCTTCACAGGTGAAGGGGGGCCCAGCTGTAACAGCTTTTCAAGTTCTCTCTCCTCATCAAGGATCATGAGCGGCACTCCATTCAAGGGGAGGTCTGCAATCTGGTGCTCTTCAGGCAGGTCAAAACTCTCAAAATCTGTCTCAAAGAGGAAGTATTTTGTCAGTGCAGTAGTTCTCAGCACGGTCACCATACCCCTGGTGGTCCAAGACCCTATCAGAGGGTCCATGACTTCAAAACCATTTTCATGATAATATGAACACCTTTTTCCACTGTGTTGATATTTCCAATGATGGTACAAAGGCACTAGTGGATAAAAAAAAACTGCTGGTGCCTTAACACAAATCAAGACAGTGGCAATAAACTGTATTAGTAGTCATTGTATCCTTCACCACTATCCACTTGTAGTAAAAAAAAATTAAAAAGCCAGTTTCATTTAATGTCACTTTACCATATGCAATAAAAGGTATTAATTTTATTAGCTCTCAGCTCGAGATGATGTCTTTTTAACATGCTGCATGATAAAGTAAGTATGTCATAAAGCACTTCTGCTGCATACCAAAGAATAATGATCATCTCAAAGAAAAAGGATTTGTGCAATTATATGACTTGCTAGCTAAACTAGAGGACGTTTTCCTGGAACATCATTTTTACTGAAAGAACTGAAAGACAGACTATGGTCACTCAGATTTGGGGTATCTGTCACATTTTCTCAAAAAAGAAAAATTCTGTGACTTCAAGGACAACTGACAGTGTTTGTTGCCAATGACAGAATTCAAAATGTCAAGAAAAAAACTAGAATTTTGGAAAATTTATCTGCAATCATTAGCTTTACAGTTTCCTTAGACTTTTCTGATGAGATCAGTTGTGATATTAATGAATGTGCTTTTAATACTGTATAATGAAATATCTCAACATTTGGGTATCTACATATCTCAGTGAACTTTTTTTTTTCCGAGACAGTCTTGCTCTATTGCTGTGGCATCAGCCCAGCTCACAGTAACCTCAAACTCCTGGGTTCAAGCTATTCTCTTGCCTCAGCTTCCTCAGTAGCTGGGACTACAGGTGCTCATCACCATGCCCCGCTAAGTTTTTCTGTTTTTAGTAGAGATGGGGGGGGTCTCACTCTTGCTCAGGCTGGTCTCGAACTCCTGAGCTCAAGCGATCCTCCCACCCAGAGTACTAGGATTACAGGATCAGCCACCGCACCTGGCCAATAAACCAATATTTCTAAATGATCAGTGCATGATAAATACAAAGGTAAAAGATACATTCCAAGTGCAAAACAGTGGATTTTACTGTCAGGATACAAAACGCTCATTGATATGGTTTCTGATTCCACATTGCAATTATACATTCAGAAACAGCCACTTGTCAGTTTTAGTGTAGTAGCAAAAAAAACTATAAACACTTATCTGAAAAGATTAAAATGGTCCTCTCTTTCCCAACTACCATATCCACGAGGCCAGGTGTTTTTCAAATACTTTAAATCAAACAGATGCAACAAGATGAATATAGAATTTGATAAGAATCCATTTGTTTTATGTTAAGCCAAATTAAGCAAATTTTCAAAACTAAACTGTGCCATTCTTCTTACTGAATTTTTGGTTTGGAAAAGTTACTTTATGAAAAATGTGTTATTTACACTAATATAATGGATTACTTAATAAATATTTTAATTTCTCAGTTTTAATCTCTAATACAGAAAATATAAGAACACACAAGCAAAAGTTCTTTGTAGTCTTCAATTTCTAAGAGTACAAAAGGGTCCTGCAACCAAAAAGTTTGAGAACCACTGTGTTAGGTGATATTCCTTCATGAAATCTAAGTGCCTTACTTCTTAGGAATTATTTAAAACCATCAATTTTCCGGACAGTAACAAAAGTATGATTTAAGTATTGAGTTTTTCATCTTTTTAAGGAGATTGTTTTCTCAAAAGCTTAAAAATCATCGTTCTCCTTATCTTTATCCTTAGGTGTGAAAGTTCTCTAAAGCCTAAATACTCAAGAATTAGTTTGCTCTTTTTTCAAGCATACTAAAACCCAGAAGTCAAAAAGCAACTGAGTGACATGTGACTACTTAATTTGAAACCACAGAATTGTAAAGGAAACCATAAACATATGAAACACTCCAGAGTAAAGAAGTCTGCAATATAACAGGGCTAATTCTATGTTTTTTTTTCTTTTTTTCCTTAGACATTTCATCTGTAAGGGCTAATCTCTTTATCCACAAAAAGCCTTTAAAAAAAAAAACAAAAATCAGGCTGGGTGTGGTGGCTCACGCCTGTAATCCTAGCACTCTGGGAGGCTGAGGCAGGCAGATTGTTCAAGGTCAGGAGTTTGAAACCAGCCTGAGCAAGAGGGAGACCCCATCTCTACTAAAAATAGAAAGAAATTAATTGACCAACTAAAAATATATATAGAAAAAATTAGCCGGGCATGGGTGGCACATGCCTGTAGTCCCAGCTACTCGGGAGGCTGAAGCAGAAGGATTGCTTGAGCCCAGAAGATTGAGGTTGCTAGGCTGATGCCACAGCACTCAATCTAGCCTGGGCAACAAAGTGAGACTGTCTCAAAAAAACAAAAAAATCAGTAAGAAAGTCACATAGTCAAAGGAAAACAAACAACAAAAAAAACACACACACACACAAAGAAAAAACTATAAATGGCCAATAAGACACAGAACCTAACAATGAGATATCATTGCCTTTTTGGCAAAAATTAGAGTTTTAAAACATTGCAGTTAGAGATCATGGGAGAAGACACTGTCTGTCATCCACTATAGGTGGATTTGGTAACACTACTTTGGCAATATCTCTTTCCTCAAACCAGGATATTATGGTCTTCCCTCCTGGTAAATACGCATATATCTACCTCATTTTCCTTAATAGCTGAATGGTAATATTAGCATAGATGTCCCATATTTTATTAAAACTTAATCACACACCCTTTAACTCAGCAATCCTTAGAATTTCCCTCCGTATATACTCACAAACTCACAACAATATAATTTTAAGAATACAAATTGTAGATTTGTTTTTAATTTATAAAAGCCAGAACTACCTGAGTGTATGTTAGGAAAAGAATGACTAAATGCCCTTTCACTAAAAGTGTAAAAAAAAAAAAAAATCCAGCTCAGAAATCTAAGGTCTTGCCTGATCTGCCCCCACACTTTACTTGTATCCTCCTTCATTCTGTCCTTCATTTCCCAGAACCACTCTGGTCCTTTTTCCTACCTCAGGATCTTTGCACACACTTTGATCTACAATGCTTTCTTCTCCCTCACGCTCATAGTGAGATGATCTGTTCAATGTTTGACTTTCCCTCCAAATTGTGGGCTGCACAATTAGGGTGTGGGGCCTGCCTTGTTAACCACTGCATCCAAAGCCTAATAGTGCTCGGCACATGGTTGCCTCTCCCTCAAATGTTCAATTAAAGCTTGAAAAGCTGTTTCTCTAACAGAAATATTTCAGATACATGTAGCAGGTTGAAAAAGTTTGAAAAACACATCTTCACTGTCTACATAGATTTTTCCAACAAAGAAATAATTCTACCAAAGTACTCTCAGGCATTGCTCAACTTGACATAAAGCCCACTTTTTTTTGAAAAAAAGCTGGCTAGAAAGACTGTCCATACTAACACTTGTTCAGTACTAATGAGTACATCTTACCTACTCCTTCAGTGCTAAGCTTTTGAGAACAGGAACAATGCTCTCTACATCTTTGCTCCTATATTCCCTCCTGACTTAAGATGATACATTTCAAATAATTCCACCAAAAAGTATATTTGTCCAAAGCAACCCAGATTCAGACAGTCTCGTTATAGTTTTAGGTCACATCATGTTCACATCAAGTTATAGCTGAGTGGAATTCTAAAAGAAATTAAAGGCCAAAAGTATTTTTGCAATACCAAGAGATACTACCTAGAGGATTGAAGGGAAAGAACTTTTCTATTTCTGGATAGGTGTCATCAGAGGCAGGAACCGAGCTTTTTGCTTTAATAGTCTTCTCAGTCACCTGGAACAACTCAAAGAAAATATAGATTAGTGAGAGTGGAAGCCTCATCAACCAATTAGTACAGAAGATAGTAGGGCTCTTCAAAACATGATTGCTTCACCACGTTTTGAAATTTGTCAATTTCATGCTGCCTTGTAAGCAGCCATATTCCTTAGTTCATATGATTATACCTAAATATAATTCAAATAATAAAATAAATACAGTGCTAGTAGCATGGCTTAAAAGTCTGAAATTTCAGTATTAGCACCTGTCAGGATAAGTCATTAAGGCAGAACAGAGTTAATTCAGAGCTAATCAACTTAATTATTCAACCTAACAGAGGAGAAAATGGGCGTGAGTCACCCAAAAGAGTAGCTAATCCTTAAAGCTGGAATTTTGGCTTATAGAAGTATGATTTTTTTCTAGTGTTACCTTAATTATTTGCTTGGTTAATATTTAAAAACAAGTTTATGTTCCTCAAATACACCGAGTTAAGAAACAGCAAAAGACAGTCAAGGACTTTAGAAGAACATGAATAATTCCCTAATCTGGAGTTAGCAGGTAGACAGTCTACTATAGAAGTAAGCCAAAATGGAAGCCTGCATATTCTTGATTTATGTCACCTCAAATGTGCATACCCAGAGGAAATCCTACAGCAGAGTTTCCCGCACTTAAGTGGTGTAACAGTCTCATTCTTCCCCACATCTTTGCAATGCCCATATTTAACATTTTTAAGTCAATTCACTTTTTTTTTGAGACAGAGTCTCACTCTGTTGCCTGGGCTAGAGTGTGGTGGTATCAGCCTAGCTCACAGCAACTTCAAACTCCTGGGCTCAAGCAATCCTTCCGCCTCAGCCTCCCGAGTAGCTGGGACTACAGGCATGCAACTACTATGCCCAGCTAATTCTTTCTATATATTTTTAGTTGGCCAATTAATTTCTATTTATAGTAGAGATGGGGTCTCACTCTTGCTCAGGCTGGTCTTAAACTTCTGATCTTGAGCGATCCTCCCGCCTCAGCCTCCCAGAGTGCTAGGATTATAGGTGTGAGCCAACGCACCCGGCCTCAATTCACTTTTTTAAAAACATTATCCTTTCCTTGAGGTTGCAGCAAGTTATGATCGTGCCACTGCACTCCAGCCTGGGTGACAGAGCAAGACCCTGTCTTTTTCATTTCAAAATATTAAGGGGGTACAAATGTCGTTACACAGATAGCTTTTATAATGCTTTAGTCAGGACTATAGGTGTGCCCATCACCTAAATAGTGTTCATTGTACCTGTTAGGTAGGTTTCCCTCCTTCTTAATTTCCAACAATTTTTACTTTTTTCTGTGCCCATATGTGCCCATCAATTAGTTACAGATTATTAGAGAATACATGTGGTGTTTTCCCATTCCTGAGATACTTCACTTAGAATAATGGTCTCCAGTTCCATCCAAATTGCTACAAAAGGCATTCTTTTTTATGGCTGAGTACTAGTACTTCATGGTATACATATACCACATTTTGTTAGTCCACTCATGAGTTGATGAGCACTTGGGATTATTCCACATCTCTGTAATTGTGAATTGTGCTACAATAAACATTCGAGTTGCAGGTGAGACCCTGTCTCTTAAAAAAAGATATCCTTCCTTGTCTAAAGATGCATACACATAATTCTCTTAATACAAATTAAACAAAACAGTTACTAAAAAGAAGTGTTAATCCACATGCTAACGTCATCTTTCATAGCAAAATCCTCTCGTTTTGGGATACACAGACCTGTAGCTTGTGACCCATACTCAAAGATCAACATGCTAGTAAATTGTCATCTAACAAGCTGGTGATTGCTCAGAAGGCAAGGAGGAAAATGGCAGCACCTGAGTTATATCAGCAATGTAATCTCTCTCGGTACTTTAACTAAAAGTAGATACTAATCTGCTTCATGACACTAGTTAAGGACAGGTGAGGCAAAAATATGCATTAGCTGAGTTTGAGACTCCCAATTTCAAGGTACAGAGAAGTCCACAAGGACAATATGCTTCACCTGTTAATCTATGTTTACTAGACTATATTTCCCTTCTACTCAGAGGGAAGAAAGCCAGGTAGGATGCCAATAGTCATGTTAAGAGCCAAAGTGCATAAAAGTTGAAACAGTGTCTTTATAGCCAACACTTACCTTTTTGGCAGGGAAGGTTGGCTGTTTTTGTTTGAGGGGTCCATTAGTCTTTACTGACTTTTCTGTAGCTCTGTTGACAGTTCCCAAAGCCTTTCTGGCAGTTTTAGGTAAGGCTGGTGGAGCATCAAATATTTTGCCAACATTCGGTGTTGAAACCTGAGATCTCCCATCTGAGGCTTTGGTTGCTGAAGAAAAAGTCTTACCATAAGAATATGTGAGCAGCAAATACCTGTGCAACTTGAATGCTGTGTATATAAACTTGACCTAATTATCACCCCCAAACCCAACCTCCATTTCTGGCAGTGGCATGGCTACGGCATGCCAAATAGCACTGAGGTTCAGTACTCTACTAAATCATCTCGTTAAGCTACTGAACATGAAATGGGGCCGATAACAAACTTGACTGCAATTGCCCACAAAGTATACTAAATGCCTCACCCAGCTCCAGGCCACACCCACAATACCAGGGTATCCGATTGCAGCCTTATATACTTACAAGGCCCAGACCTCAGCTTCAGCCCATCCTTAGGAGCCACACGGGTACCTAGTTCTCCATTTTCCTTATCGACAAAGATCAGAGTAGCCATTCTGGATTATTCTAAGGGTGAGAAATACATTAGATACTGGGAATTTGGGGAATGCGAGAGAAGCTAAAGTATATGAACAGACCAAACTTTTTATCCTAGGTATGCCCACACAAAAACAAGAGCTGATCACAGACAGGAGCGCGTGCTTGAGCCAAAAAGCACGTAACCCAGCTCTTAAGTCTTCCAGCCTGAGTCAGAGGCTCTCAGGTACTGAGGAGCAGGCGGTTTGGAGCTGGCACCCTTCCGAAGAGAATCGCCACAGGTAACAGCTTGCAGTCCGAGGCCGCGGCTCAACCAGGCTCGAAGCCATCAACACCCCAGGGAACCCCCCGCCCAGCCCCAATTTCCAGCCCTAGACCCGGCTAGCCCAACCACTCACGCCGCTCCCGTTTACCCACGTCGGCTTGCACAGCCAAACTCACCTAAGACCGCTGCTAACGGGCCCGGCACACTCCCGGTTTAAACCACAACTCGCGACCCAATTGGCTCGTCTTCCCGAGAGGCGGGACTTGAGGGCGGGGTCTCCAAGAAGAGCCAATAGGAGGAACTTAAACTGCCGGGGCTCCGCCCAGAAAGCGCTTCCTCGGCGTTTGCGGCGCGTTTCTTGGGAAGGAAAAAAAACTACCAATCTTCTGACATTCAAAAAACCTGAGAGGCTTTTTGTTCTCCGTATTATCGTGCTACATGGACCGAAGCACTGACCCAATGACGCTGTTTTATTGCTTTAAGGTCTTTTTATTTAAACGGCACTGTAGGCCGGGGGCGGTGGCTCAAGCCAGTAATCCTAGCAGTCCGGAGGCTGAGGCGGGTGGATTCTTTGAGCTCAGGAGTTCGAGACCAGCCTGAGCAAGAGCGAGCCCCCGTCTCTGCTAAAAAATTAGAAAGAAATTAATTGGCCAACTAAAAATACATAGAAAAAATTAGCCGGGCATGGTGGCGCATGCCTGTAGTCCCAGCTACTCGGGAGGCTGAGGCAGGAGGATTGCTTGAGCCCAGGAGTTTGAGGTTGCTGTGAGCTAGGCCGACGGCATGGCACTCACTCTAGCCTGGGCAACAGAGTGAGACTGTCTCAAAAAAATAAAATAAATGGCACTGTAGAAAGTTTTTAAAATAAATAGAAATATTGTACCAATATTGGGGAAAACAACCAATATTGAGTCTAGAGACTACTAGCAGAGCAGAATTCAATATTAAGAAATGTAAATATAGATAAAACAGCAGTGTTTGAGTCATTCTGTAATGCTTGTGATTCAAAATGGATTGATTATTCCCTAATTGGAGAACTCAACACTTCAGGCTAGGATGCTGTTTCTATTACGGCATCACAAACCTGTCTTGGGAACAAAGTGATGATCCTAATGAATACATAATGTAGTCTTTCCTTAAAATTCTGTAATGTCATTTAATAGTGATACCATTTATTTTCATCCTCTAACATTTCAATAATATATTCATCAAAGCTGCCTGGAAGGGCCTGGCCAGGGAACAAGAGATCAGAGAAATAATAAACATATAGAAAAGGAATTCCAGTTTCCCAGATATTAGAAGAAATTTTGCTTGAAAAAGTCAATGACCTTTTCTTATTTCTACAGTAAATGGGAATATATTGAACAAATACAAGAGAAAGGAATAAATTCAAAAGATTAAGGCTATGTCATTCAAAATTCTACTTCCTACAGGTCACCAAATACATTTTAACCTGCAGATAAACAGGGAGAGAGGACTTGACCCTATACTACTCTTTCACAAAAGGTTCAGTACTACCCCTGGCAAACATGGTTCTCAATATATGCCAGTTCATCATCCTTTCTTCCCTGGCATTTCAGGACCAAATTGATTAAATGACTCATGCATTCAACAAATATTTACTGAATGCCTAACAAACTCTGGACACTATGTGAGGCATTAAAAAGAAAAGATTCTAACTTAAAGCGAAGAAAAAGACAAAAACCCATGCATACCTTTACTGTCCCTTCCCTGTCCTTTTTCCTTTATCCCTGCCCCTTTTCTCCCTGTATCTTCTAAATTTCACATGTCCATATTATATCATCAGCACACAAAAGTATTAATTTTTTAGATTAAATCTGCAAAACACCTACAGCTTCCTAGAGGGGACTCTCTATCTTCTAAGGTTTCAGGTGCAAGGTTTATCTCCTTAGGATGTCTTCCTCTTCTTTTTTCCCCACCAACACGAAGCATTGTTTCTTCTAAGATCATGGAGCAGCCATAAACCATAACCACCCTCTCTTTGAATAACCACAATTTTCTTACTATTGATGCCCCCAGACCAACTCTGCTACTCGCATTTATTACCGGGGATACCCAATTGCTTAACTGCTCTCATTCGTAACAGCACCTAGTCCCTAGTTACTCCCAGTAACTCCCAGTCCTGCTTTACAAACAGCAACCCATCCAGAGCCAATCTCTGCTTCCCCAAACCCTCCCAGAACCCTCCAGAGGGACTCCAAATGTTACAAAAAATTCATCCCTCTTGCCCAGCGCATTCTGATTCCCCTGGGAAATGTACTCTCTGGTATTTATGTCTTGTGGTTATGGCTAATTGGGATTTAGTAAGCAAGTTTAGGAATATTTTTTAGGTGGAAAACACTGGATGATGTAAATTCCAGGAAGTAAAGAAACTCTGTGTTCACCACATCCCCAGCGTTTTACACAGCCTGGCTACTAACTAATACTAATTTTAACTGTTTATTTTAGTTATACGGTCACCAACTTCCGCATTCATTTCATAGTCTTCTACTGAGGCTTAAGTTGTTGTCTGTTCTGGGTACTAATTTTTTTTTTTTTTTTGGAGAAAGGGTCTCGCTCTGTTGCTCGAGCTAGAGTGCGTGCCGTGGCGTCAGCCCACCTCACAGCAACCTCAAACTCCTGGGCTCAAGCAATCCTCCTGCCTCAGCCTCCTGAGTTGCTGGGACTACAGGTTATGTGCCACCATGCCCGGCTAATTTTTTCCATATATTTTCAGTTGGCCAATTAATTTCTTTCTGTTCTTAGTAGAGACGGGGGTCTCGCTCTTCCTCAGGCTGGTCTAGAACTCCATACCTCCAGCCTCCCGCCTCGGCCTCCCAGAGTGCTAGGATTAGAGGCGTGAGCCACCGCGCCCTGCCCTAATTTTTTTTTTTAACGTCCTAAAATCCTGCGATTCTAAAAAAAAAAAAAGAGAGAGAGAGAGAGAGTTCACGAATAGAAGCCAAAAATAAAGTGCTCAATCTTCGTAACCCCGGCCCTCACGTAAGTAGACTTATACGCACACCTCGAAATGTCGCGAGACTCACGGCACGGGACAGCCAAAGCCCCCGGAAGTTATTAGTGCGCATGTGTTGGTATCCGGAAGCTACCGCAGCGCCTGCCGGGAAAGGGGCAGGAATCCGGGAAGTAAACATTGCGCGATTGGCTTCGTTTCTGTCGGATGGTTTGGGGTCGGCTGCGGCGGGACTGAGTAAGAAAACATTCGTAAAATTTGCAGACGAGGGAAAGTTGGATAACCTCAGAAAGTGTATCAAAGGCTCCTAATGATTAGGTATATCGTCACGGGAGTGATGAGCCCCAGGTAGAGGAGGGAGCGAGCACCAGGGGCTGAGGAGGAAGCCGCTGTTCTAGGGCACAGGAATGGTACTCGTGCCCAACCAGACCAAGACTGCGCCTTCAGGGAAAGAGTCGCGATAAATGAGAGAGTGTCCCCTTTGTCGCGGATGTTTTAAGTTCTCCTCGGACATCTTGAGCGATCTCTAGGCTGCAAGCGTGAAAAGCCGCTTCCAGTACTCAAGATGACAGATTTTGTTTCCTCGCCAGAAAAATTTCTTTGAGCTTCAGCTTTTCGTGTTAGGTAGGGATGGTCCTACTTCACGGAGGTATTATGGAGAGTTCAGTGAAAGCATCTTTGTAAAGCGTTAAATAGTGTATTACAGGAAGCTCTCAGTTAAATGCGAACTATTATTATTCTTTTTACTTGGCAAAGGGCCCCTCCATGGCGAGGAAATCTAGTGAGTACAACTTGGTGTCTACAATACTTTATTCAGTTTTAGGGCTTTTTGTTTGTTTTGTTTTTGTTTTGAGACAAGGTCTCGCTCTGTCTCAGAGTGCAGTGGTGCTATTAAACTCTTGGGCTCAAGGGATCCTCCTGCCTCAGCCTCCTGAGCAGCTGGGACTAGAGGCGAGTGCCAGCACGCCCGGCTAATTTTTCTATTTTTTGTAGAGACGGGGTCTCACTTCTTACTCAGGCTGGTCACTCAGTTATAGCTTTTAATATTGAAGGCCCAGAAGCCAATATCCTATGGAGATATTATAACATAATGGTTTAAAGAACCGACTTTGGAGTCAGACAGACTTGTGTTTAAGATCTTTGTTTCTTATTAGCATGTGTCGTTGGTTGAGGACCTGTTTCTTCACGGTAAAATGGGGTTAATCAGATCTACTTAATGAGGATGTGGTAAAGATTAGATGAGATGATGCAAGGTAAGCTCAAGAAATAGTAGTTGTTTTAATGTAGACGATTAAATCTATCATTGTAGATTATCTTTCACTTCACAGTATAATTGGGCCTTTTCTGTTCATATATTACATAAACATCTGGAGATTTTCTGTAGGTCAGAGACACAGGAGGAAAAAACACCTTTGAGCAGCATCATAGACTCCATAGCTATTGAGCACGTTCTGTTGAGAAAGAGCTTGTGTAAAAGCCTAATGTCTGCAAGGAGCCTGGTGTGTTAAGAGGAACTACAAGGTCTGTAGTTGGTAGAGAAGAAATAGCAGGGTAGTTGTAATGGTGAGTATGGCGGTAGACAGTTGCCAGACCATGGTGAACCATGTAGGTGTGTTAAAAAGATGTTGGTTTTTATAGTAAGAATGATAAGATCCATTGGATCTTTATCCTTTTAGTTATTTAGGAGTCTAGGACCTTGTCAGTAACTTCTTGCTAATTTACATGGTTACCAGTAAATGCTTCTGGAAGAGCATTTATGCACTCATTCAGCAAATAATATAGTGATCAGACTCGTTATTTATAACATCGGTGTCTTAGTTGAGGTGGCCCAAGCAGAGTGGAGACAAGGTAGTAAATAGTTTCTCTGGGAAACTATTTGTGGCCGTTGAGGCTGGAGATATAGCAAGTCCTAATAAGTGTAAAATCCATAGCAGCTTTTAAAGACTGAGTTGATTTTTTTTATGTTGATTGAAATTTGAAATTATAATATGTTGGGTATACTGGGTTAAATAAAACTTTGCAAAAGTGATTTTTAATACTCTGGCTTCTCTTCAGATTGTATAAAAGTAATTTTATCTTTTTTGTACATTTTAAATATGATACTAGAAAACGAAATTACGTATGGGGCTGACATTGTATTTCTCTTGGGTGGTGCTGCATTGGAGGGTTTTAAGCTTGGACAGTGGGACATACATGATCAAATTTGTGTTTTGAAAAATTAACACTGCAGCGTGGAGAATTGGTTGGAGGAAATCAGGAGGCCAGTAAGTAGGAAAAAGTAATAACTTGCACTAAGGTAGTAGCATTGAGAATGGAAAGAAGCAGATGAATTTGAATGATATTCAGAAGATAAAAATAACAGTTCTTAGCGTTGAAATAAAAATGGAAATAAGATGAATTACTTACATAAAGAGATGGATGGTATTATCTCTCATTGAGATAGGGAACAGTGAAAGGAAATGAGATTTCCGAAGCAAGATCATGAGTTTGAATTAAGATGTGTTGAATTTAGGTGTCTCTGAGACCTCTAAGAGGAGAAGTCAGGTCAGCAATTGGATATATGTATCTG